CTTGTGTGGATTTCATCCTTACAAAGTGGCAGCGAGAGGAGGGAATAAGTAATGAAGTCCAAAACATGAGAGAAAGTAGCCTCCAGGACAGGTCTTCATTGTACATTTCTTCTTGAATAGGGTGCAGAATTCAGATGTCTAAGTGGGACTATCACTCTCCCCATAACCAAACCTTTGAGAGGGAGCAATGTCAAATATGAATTTAAGGATATAGGTTCCCTTAACTACAGTGTGTAACACAAGTTTTCTTATCTTGGTGAATTAAAAAAATTAGTATTTTCGTAAGACCTTAAAAAAATTACAAAGGGATAAATTTTTGTTTTGCCACATAAATTTGCAGTGTTTTTACAATGAAACTGAATATTGGAATCATGATGCATGATCAGGCAATGTTAATATAGTAAAATAAACTTTAAAATTTAAGAATTTAATACTCCTGGGATTGTTTCTAAAACAGTCCTTCCTATTAGCACAGAGAGATAATGGTATTGTAATTGGTTTCCTTTAATACACACATTTGAAGTTAGCAGCCCATTTTGCATTATCTTGTCTTCTCCCATTACAACCAGATGTGCAGCTTTCCTAAAACAGTGCTCAGGGGATTCTCAGCAAAAGCCTTGAGCTTGGTTCCCAGCAGGTGCTGATCTCAACACCTTGTTCTAAAGAGGAGTAATTGTATAAGAAAAAAAAAAAAAAGAGGCATTTTGGAGTACCAACACCATCTCAATTAAGTATCCAATGGGGAGGTCTGTGGTGGCAGGAAGAGAACATTAAAGAACTGCTGCCATCACTCCTTGCAATCAGCAAACTTGCAACACTTTTCCAGGTCTCTGATTCTAGTGATGTCATGTAACAAACAGAAATCCATCTTGATGTCCTATGGACCTGGTTTTAGGTGAGCTTATCTTCTTCCCAGAAGAGAACTTATTTTCCTTTCAGAGTTCTTGCTGTGTATTTGACACAAATGATTCTACAGCTTATGCTGTTTAAAAACTGAAGCACAAACCAAAACCCCTAACCCTGAAACTGAATAAATCTGGAAAACTGAGACAGGTGTATAGATTTCCTCTCAAAAATACATTTAATACATGAGTAATATTTATACAGACTGGGGAAATGCCATGTGCTTATGATGCCTTTTTCTTGGACCTAGAATTAAGAGCCAGGCATGGTTAAGGGATAAAGGGTTTTTTTGGTAGGTAATAAGGATCATTTGGTGCAACATTTCTCCAAGGTGGAATGTGCTGAAATGCACTTTCATGGTAGATCCCATATGCAATTTTATAGACCTTGCAAATCAGCATATCTGACAAGGTTGCCCCAATGAGAGGCTTGAATGAATAGCATGATATCTTCCTATCCTGAAGTATTTCCTCCTAGATGGGCTCAATTTTATTTTACAGGATGTATTCTAGAGGGGAGCTTGGTTTCTCAAAGCTTAGGGCTTTCTGAGGCCTCCAGTTGTGAGGCATTTAGGATGTTTGGTCTCCTGGTCTAACAGAATACCAGGACTATCCTAAGTTATCAGACTTAAGGAATTACAAGTATATATACTAAGGACACTGAGAATACATAAAAGGTATGTACATACATAAAAGGCAAAAAATCGTCATGGCATCATCTACTAAAACTTTACAAAATTATAAAAATATTTAACAACATTTCAAGATTTTTCTTAATTTTAACACTTGTTTTTCAGGGTGTAATGTAGATTTCCATTGTATTTTTTTTTCCCCTCTTATTATTTTTTTTTTTTTCCTAGTATGGGTTATATGGATTTGAGGTCTGTTGTGGCTGTAAAATTAGTCTACTTGCTGTGTTAGCCTTTAATATGTATTCCCACCTACAAATGCAGTAACACAGCTTGAAGGGAATTTAATTAGGAAAATGAGGCAGATGAAATAGGCAATGTGATGTATATCTGCAATATGAAGAAGAGTAAATACACTTTTCATCTGAATAGTCAGAAGAGAAGCTGTGTTAAACTGGGCTGAAATTTAATCAGAAATGGATTTTTTTCATTTTCTAGCATTACTGTGTAATTGTCCTCCTTATTACTGGGGATTAGAAAGGCTACCATCATTAAAGAGGAAACATCTTTAGCCAATTATGTATGGTTTGTAGTTTGCCTGGCACTGACCTCCTCTTTATGTGAAAAATGGAAATCCCTGGAGGAACAGACTTAGCTTGGTCATTCCAGTCTGGGAACTGGGGATCCTTGTGCACACAGTGTTTGCATCTCATGACCTGTGTGCACACGCCTGTGCTCTGTTGATTCCTGCTGGTTTACGGACCAAGCAATAAATGGTAGAGTTCAGATGACTGAAAACTTGCTCTGCCAGTAGCAGTTTTCTGCCTGGCAGCACTCTGGAATATTCCAGCCTTGCTGTAGTGTGTTGCTGCACAGTTGTGGGTATTTCACTTGTACCCATTACTTATTTCCCTAATGCATTTTTTAGCATTTGTGTTGGTTCTGAGCACAGATGATTATACTGTGCAGAAAAACACAGAGGATCACTAGGGCAGAAGGCAGCTGAAGTAATATATAATAGATCATGAATAATTGTTTAAGAAAAGTCTCCCACAATCCCTTTGCAGAATTGGAGAGAATAGCACTGGGAAGTCTGAAATATTACACAGCACAACCAGAACAACTGACACATTAGTTTGAAAAACATTTATTTTGTCTGAATCAAGAGATAGAAATACATGATTCAGATATATTTTTGCATAGTAAACAAATAGAAAAGGTTTTAATACATGCTTTAATTCTATCTATGAGATTTTTAAATGTTCTAATTCTGGATCAACCCACTTGGGCTGTAATGTGATTCTTCAAAATATTGCAGAGAGAGGTATGAGATTAGTGCTTTTACTTTACTGATTTTTCTAGGTCTTTTTAAAACAAGATAGGTAATGAAGTTAGTAAATATCATGTGGTAGATGCATGATAAAAACCCAGTGCAGGCAACCTAATGTCACCAAGCTTATTTTGCTACTCTTTGTTTCTTTTTGCTTATGGCAGCAATCAGCCAGAGGACTTTCCCAGCTGATTACCAAATCTCAGGTTCTATCCCTCAAGTCAAATTTCAAATCATCATATTTCACATTTGGCATCTGTGATTTTGAAGCCTTGGTTTTGTGCTTAAGCCTGTTCCGTGCCTCTGGACAGTACCTTTATTTATCAGTGTTCTGGAAGAGAGAAGAAGAAATTATCAGTAGTACTTTGATTTCAGTCCTTAGCATTGCCAGGTGCAAGGGCAGGTGGTACACTTGATTTTCCAGCTTCTGGAGACAACAGTTTATCATTTCATCCCTGGTGGTTATTCCTGGCTATGGAATGTGTTTCTCTCCTTTGTCAGAAGCATTCCTTCATTGCAAAGAGAACCATGTCTCTTTATTGAATTGTGTAAAAACATTCTTGCATGTTTTAATCAGAATGAAAAACCCCCACGGGGGGTTGCTGATGGACTGCTTAAGAGAAATGAGGGAGATTGATTGAAGTTCCTAATAGTTATTTTTTTAAAGCATCAGCACAAGATAGCAGGTGTTTTCCCTGCTAAGCAATTCTAGTAGCTAAAGAGACTTGATTTTTGTATGTTGTCAACTTTCAAGTTTAATATATGCTAAGGGACACATCTCAGACACTTAATCTTCTTTTGACTTTATGTGGAAAGGAATGTAGAACCTTTTCAAATCTTTGAAACAGGCATAGTTAAAATCTCTACTCCTCCATGGTTTGTTCAAGCATTTCCTTTCATCTGTGATTTTCAAAAATAAGACATGGTGCCTGCTTAGAAAATGCTTATCACATGGAAATGCAGTAATCTGATTTGTTACTGTATCTTTTACGAAGATTTGTATGTGTTTTTCTCATGTAAACCCTGACTAGATGCATCTGCTGCCCTTAATTTAAGTTCTTCTGTGGGATCAGACCTCTACGAAGCCAGAAGTTCTTTTAGAAGAACAAGTATTTCTCAAAGACATTTTCAAAGTGTGTGCACTAAGAGGAGGTTGTTGTGTGTACTTTTTTTTTTTTATAGGAGCAGGTACAAATGGGATGATAAATTAGAATAAATCTCTTAGATTAAGAACCAAGTTTAAGTCTTACTGAAAGCAGTAATTTTGCAAGAAAAGAACTGCAAAAAAGACCCTCCATGACTGTAGCAGTAGATTTCCCCATCTCAGCCAATATATAAAACTGAATTTCCTGATTAGTCACTTGGTTCAAGCTGGGTAATGTGAATATAATGCTTCCGATGTGTCTGAAGTATTGTCACATGAAATTTGTCATTTCTTCATATTTTACCCTGCAGTACCTTGGATATTTCTGATTGAATTAAATACTTTAAATACTCTAGGGCTTAAAGAGCTAAAATAGACACAGTTGGGACTGTGCTGTAGCTATTTAAGAGGGATTTTCATTCTTGTCACGAAGAGAGAAAATTTTAGTGAATGAAAGTGGAATTCTTTGACTAAGAAAAAATGTGGCATTGATTGTGTTCACATTCCAGTTGCTCAAGCTAGAAAGTGTGGATGGAAAATGGCTAAATAAACTTTCTTCAATTTGCCAGTATTTCTTCAGTTGAGGTATTTAATGGAGAGATTAAGAAAATGTGGTTTATTTCATAAGTGCTGTGTGCACTGATTTGCATTGTGTCAGAAAGAATGTGAAATCCTATTTGTGCTCTTCGAAGAACATGTTTACAAAGCAGTACAAATGAAAATGGGAAGGAGAAATTGCATTCTCTAGAATTTTGTAGCCCTGCCAAGACTGTGAGGTTTAAGAAATGATATATAAATTTTTTGCTTTGGAAAGAAGTATTTTCTACCACTCCTTCAAAGATGTGATCATTTTAGGGAAGATGTAACAACCATTCCAAGACGCCCAATGAGCCCTGGAGGCACTATCCGAAGCTGCACAGGCAGTTTGACTGTTGTATTCCTGTTTGGAAAGGCAGAATCAGTCCCTTAATTATCTTCACTATTTTCTTTTTCAGACCCTGAAGACTGGGGCTGATCATGCTGAGATTTGGGCAGCACCTCATCAAGCCCTCCGTGGTGTTCCTGAGGACGGAGCTGTGCTTTGCCCTGGTGAACCGCAGGCCGGTGGTGCCAGGACGTATCCTTTCCACAGCCGATCCTGGGAAAAGCAGGACACGCTCAGGGAGCTTGGAAGGCCAGGTAGGATGGAATAATATTCCTGGTTTATTCCAAAAACCAGGCAGTGATGCTTGATCAGAAGATGCTTGATCAGTGTTGCAGAACTGCCGAAAACAGTTGCTTAGCAACCGTGACCTTCGAGGTGAATTTCTATTGACCTTTTCACCACAGAAGATGTATAAACAACCAGGTGCTACTAAAAGCATTTTAAAGTCTATCAGAGGTGGTACTGCTTAAATTCCATATTACACTAAATAACACATCCTGCTTCCCTTTTAATAATGTCACTTATTTTTAGATGTGGTAACTTTATGGAGGATTTTCAACTTTTCCTGGCTAAATGTACACCATTTGTCAAATGCCAGTAGAATCCTGTATGAAGACTTTGAAGACTTTTTTTCGGGGGGGACAGATTGCTTTGATTAATTTAGGTGGGAAAGGATTAAATAAACCATCTGTATAGTGCACACATTTCATGATGAAAATATGAAGCCTCATGGTGTAAGTAAAATTCTTGAGTTAGAAACTATTGTAACTTGATTGCACAAGATGCTCAGTGCACCTATTTAACGTATTTTGTAGTGTAGTGTGTTATTTTCTAGTCAAAATTCTGCTGTTCTGTAGCTTGTGCTGATTTCAGTAGCTGAAAGTGCAATTTTTCAGAAGTAATCAAGACAGATCACTTTTTCCATAGAGATTCATGATAAAATTTTAGTAGGAGCTCAGTTAGGCAATGAATGGCTGTGTTTGGGAAAAAAAGGAAGTTGTCTGCAGTTTATTGAAAGTTTTCTTGTTAGTTTTGTAGTTTTATTTTGTTTCTTTCATAATTTAGAATCAAGTGAATTTTAGTATATATTTTTTAAACCCCAAAATATATTATTTCTGAAATATGGAACCTTCCTTTCCTCCCATCACTTCTGGAGATTATAATTGTTCAATATTGAACTTTTCTCTCCACCTGTTTTGAATGGTTTTTGTGTGTATCAGAAGTCAGATCATGGCAAAGATGCACAGACTTCATAGAAACTTTAAGAGTGTTACTGTCTCACCAATGTATTTTACTGAATAAAATTAACAGTTTTTCTGATCTTTGAGTTTCTGAAACTCCTGATGTAAATCCAAGATGATTTACAGATTTTTCACAACAAGAACCATTTTCAAGTCTATATAAAGACAGTGTCACATTGGTCACTTGTGATGCATGGCCCATAGGTGCCTGAGCAGTTTTTGTATGCATTGTGTGGATCAGAGAGTAAATAACCTGTTATCTGTTCTGTGAGTGGAGGTTTTAAAAACAATAATTGGCTCTTTTTTAAAATTAATCAGTTAAGTGAGAAATTGCATCTGTTGTTAAAAATAGAGTATTTCAGATGAAGCATTCTTGTTTTAAAGTTTTGTGTTCACCTAGTAATGACAAGTTAAGGAGCCTATAAAACTTAATTATAACAAGCTTCTTTCCTTCTTAAATAATTAAAGATTATAAACTCTTGTTGTATAATTATTGCTGACTTTTGGCAGATACATTTATTTGCTCAGGGTTTAGCTTTGTTATCCCATAATGAGTATTGCAGTGTATTTTATAGTGTCACATTGTTTTAATAGCTTGTGTTGTAATATATAATGTAGTCTTTGTTTCTCCATTGAATAAATGTTCAGGTTATAGAAACCCAACCCTTTTCCTTTCTCATTACAATAAGAAGAAATTAGGAGGGATCTTGATATAAAGGCTAGAATACAGTATGTAAAATAGAGCAATTTGCAGTAGTAAGCCTTTTAAAGTGTCTGTATAATGCAGCATTCATCTTGAGACCTGGCAGTACCAAGTGTATTTTCTTTGTTTTATTGCAATAATTTTATCTGCCTTGTCTTTGGCACATGTGTGACATTTTTTTTTTCAGTAGAAAATAAAATATTAATGTATGTGAATTAGAGAGACAAAGGAAATCAGTATGAAAGCCAGATCACTCCAGGTGGTGGCTTTAATTACCTAGTAAGGTTGAAATTCCATCTTGAAACAGAACATAGGAATGGAATTATGAATTTGTAGTAGTAGTTTAAAAAAAAATTATACTCTGGGAAAAAGTCTATCACAATGGCCTTGTGGAGTTCAGTGTGACTCGAACAATGCCAAAGCAGGCTTGTTCACTTAACACACTGCAAAGTTTTGAATTGTTTATTTTGAGCTGCCAATCCTGTGAATTTAGCTTGGCATTTGAAAGACAAATTGTGCTAATAGTCCAAAAATAGGTAGAGTGAAAATACAGTATTTATGGTAAGGAAAGAATTCTCTTGTCCCTGGACAAAGCTGCCTCATTTTTCTTATTAGACTTCTGTGCAATGGGTGCACTGACTCAGGAACCCGTTTGTATTGGGATCCCTTCGAGTGATTGCTGCAGATCCTTGGATAGGAAGGTGCTGGGTTCTTATTACTGAGTAAGGGATATCCTGCATGAAACTGGAATGTGTAGTGTGCAAGCTACAATGGGCACACGTGTGTGACAGTAGGAAACATTGACCTCTTCTGGCACAACAGGACAGAGGAGAGCTGCAGGTGGTCAGGATCAGATCCAGCTGCCCTCAGGAGATCCAGTCCCTTTGGTGTCACCTAGCAAAGGCTCAGAGGTGTCAGACCACGGGCTGTCTGAATACATTGGCACTTAACAGCTGTAATAATAAGGAGTCTGTACCTGCTCTGCTCTTGCCATCTCCTTGTCTGACATCAGAGCAGAAGGCACGTGGCATTGGGGATGGTGTTGATTAGTGAGATATTGGGTTTTGGGGTGTGCTGTTGCAGTGACTTTCTGGCACTGTTGCGGGGCCAAGAGTCTGGGTGGGAACACAAATACTGTACTCAGTGCACATCTGGGCTGTAAGCTTGGGAGTGGGGTGGAGGTAGCTGGGTGTTCTGGAGGCTTGCTGGGATACCCTCATACAGGTACCCATTCCCTTTTTCACCAGAGTCCTTGTTTCCTCTCAGTTCTGTCAGCTTGCTGCTTTGCAGAGAGTGATTGTGAAAAGCAGTCATTTGTGGCTCCCTTGAACAGCTCTGTGGTTGTTTTGGAGGAGGCAGCTATTCAATAGCTGGAGCAGTGCAGGGATGTGTCTGTAGCCAGCAAATGCATTGTTTCTGTCACACAAAAGGCACAAGATGAACTGAATCAGCTCATGCAAACAGCATGAGCTCAGCTTCTCCTTGGCTTCTTGCTTGAATTACTTCTTCAGAGCCTTGCTGCTTCCATAGTTCCATAGAGCAGAGCTGTGGTGCTGTTTGAAACAAATTCCATCTGCTCTTCCACGTGGACTTCCTTTGCTTTAATATGGTAGCAAATACCTTGTGAATGACCTACCATTTTATTGATGTTTCCCTAGCCCTGCACCAGAGCTTTACGTGGTCTCGCTCACATCTTCAATAAATATGAACTGGTTTTTATTGCTGCCTTTCTCATGGTGTTGTGCAGGGTACTTGTTTTCATCTTGTGTTAAATATGAAAAATGAATTTCAGCATTAGCAGAATCCATTTGGGGACCAGGACTTTTTATTATAAATAAAATTATTCATTAGTTATGTCCAATTTTTTTTTTTTCAGTAGACAAGGTATTGATCTTTAGATTTGTGTTCAGGATGCCATATGAAGAACTTGCACAAAAGGAACACAGCAACATTTGTAAATTGATTGAATGCAATATATAACGACAGAGACAAACAGCAGATCTATGGCAATACTATATTATACAAAGCATTTTTCAGCAGTTTATTGAATTGGTTATTAAAAGGAACAGTCTTTCCAGCTGGGAACAGCAAGCTGAGGGTTATTGGGACCAAGTAATTTTATGGAAATTTGTGGTGGACACTTTGGCTTCCTTACTAAGGGCACATGTATGTGTGTAATAAATTAGAATAAATACTTTACAACAACTTTTCATGTGGGATTGATTATGAAAAGGTTTTTCCATTTAAAAAGACGAACAAAAGGGAAACAAAAAAAGAAGGCTGTGTAACTGTTATATACTGAATTTTGCTGGACTATTTTGTATTGCTCTTTTCATAGATATCTAAGTTTTCTCACCAGAAAGTATTCTGATTGTAGGGAATAGACCATGTATAAAACCTCAAAGCATATTATATATTCTGGCACCTTCATCATTACGTGGAGTTAATGGTCATTATTTGTTGCTGAGGCCGTGTGCTGTTCCGTGAGTTACTGCTGCTTGTTCCTGTTATTAATGAGCAGAGAAAACATTAGCTGAGCCAGATGCTCCCTTCAAAGGCTTGCTAACACCCCGAGCTGCAGTGTAATTGTTCTGGGTCTGCTGCAGGGGTGGGACAGGATCCAGGGTCAGGCAATGTGAGAAAAGCATCTGCTCTGCTGCAGAGTTTGTCTGGCTGGGAGCTCCCTGTCATCTGCTGTCACAATGGCTGCATTGCTTGAGACTGATGTATGCTGTAGTGCCACAAGTATTTTCCTAATGCTTTCCTTAAAAGTTTTGCAGTTAAAAAAACCCCAATCCTTTAGAATTAGTATTGTTACTTAATATAATTTCAAAGTAATTTTTCATTTAGTTACAGACCTGACAGAGTTTCCACTGAAGACAGCACACTGGAAAGAACAGTAGTATTCTCTCACAAGTTTGGTTGAAAACCATGGTATTTATCTTGTACATGAAATTTTAATTCTTCATAAACTTACAGAACTGCTGCTATGATTTTATTTGTACATTACACCTTTATCATATCTATATTTATGCTTCATAAGTATGAGTTTTATGGGTTTCAGCCTAAGTAAGTGTTAATATTTACCATAAAACTAAGATTAAGAAAATGAAATTCAGTTACATTGCAGAATATATGTTTATATCTGCATATTGCAACAATGTACACTGCATGTTTGCAACAACTTGTTAGACATATCTAATCTGGTGGGAAAGTACTCTTTTCTTTAGTGCTCATTACAGAAGCTT